GAGGCATTGGAAAATATAGCTCGAAATTAAAATGTTTCTTCTGTTTTATGACAGCTTATTCGTGCATTCACCTATGATCCCTGTTGCTTGAGAAGAAAGTATCAGTTAACTGATGCATCTTGCATGGAGTGTCGTCTGTTCATCACACATTAAAACATACAGATGAAGTAGCCGCCGCCTCCTCCTTCTCCTCCACAAAAAGCTAGGGTTTTGCCTCCCGCGCCGCCGTCGTCGCAGGTCCGCCTCCTCTCCGATGGCCTTAGGGCCATGGGGGCGCAGTGGATCTCAGCAAGGGTCGGCGGGAGGGCTCCGTTTTTAATCGTTTCTTTCAGTTTTGCTAGGGTTTGTGTCCTGCTCAAGAAGACGAGACGGCGGCGGCTCCCTGAAGATGGAATAAAGGTCTCCCCGCCTAGCCCCCGTTCCGGCGATGCGTCTAGCATCGTCGGTGGGCGTGTGGAGGTGTGTCTCCGGCGGATCTATCTTTGGTGGATTTGCTCGGATCTCGTCGTTGTTCGTTTACGTTCGTGTGTCTTCGGATTGGATTTTTCTGATCTACGTTATTCTTCATCTGCGGCGGTTGCTGTTCTGGTGCGCTGGTCCTACGGGGCCTTAGCACGACGACTTCCCGACTGTCTACTACAACAAGTTGTGCCCGACTCCGGCGATGGAGGGGCGATGACGGCGGCGCGCCTTCGGCTCGCTTCAGCGTTTCTATTATTTCTAGTATTCGTTGTACTGCCATGATTGAAGATGAATAGATCAGAAATTTTCTCGCAAAAAAAAAAGTATCAGTTAACTGCAGTTTGCACATGAGAATAAGTGTACCGGCCGGGATTACTACTTCTTGCTGGACTGTAATTTGCTATGGATCTCCCACGGTCATGTTATAAAATTTTAATTTCTGGATTCTCTTATGCAAATTTCCAAGACACCCGGACGTCTGTTTTTTCTTTTAGAGTGACCACATATGTACTAAAAACAAAAATATTCTACTGTATCGTGAGAGATTATGCAGCCAGATCATTTCAATGCGCGAACCAACCTGTGGTTGGATGGTTAAAGGGACTGTGGTCTCCGCAGCCCACCATGGTTCAAATATTGGTGCTCGCATTTATTTCAGGATTTCGCCGATTTATTTCAGGATTTCCGGCGATGTGCATTCAGTGGAGGAGACGTTTCCGTCAACGACGAGGTGTCTTCGGTGACTTCGTAAATATCAAGATGATATGCCAACTCAGTCTTTCGGAGGTGCTCATAGAGATAGGGTGTGCCTGTGTACGTTCATAGAGGTGAGTGTATGCGCGTGTATATGCGCGCTTGTTTTGTTCAAAAGAAAATCCAATGCTACGAAATCTGCAGATGTGGAAACGCCCATCTCGTTGACGGCGTGCAGTCGTCGTTGCCGTGCTCCATGCCGGAGCATGCGTTCATACATGCATAAGTGGTTAGACACTAGGTTGCTAGAAATTAAGCAGACGAAAACTATTCGTCTATATATACGTATACAAGCATGCATCTATTACATGAAGATGTCGAAGATAGATAGATAGAGAGGTTAACACCAAAGATGTTGAAGCCCGTGGCATCGTCTTCCTCGTCGGTCCGGTGCTGGGCGGTCATCGCCGCTGCACTGATCTTGTGTGCGGCCAACGTTGAGCTTGTCCATGGAGGTAAATTAAGCATGAGATGATCTCCATATCTTCACTAAACTCTGTTATGATCGATCGATGTGCCAACCGATATTCATATTCCTGTATGTATGTGTGTGCAGGTGGGAGGCCTGTGCCGAGACCTCCGGCTCCGGTAGGGCATGTGGCTCCCAAGGAGCACTGCCCTGACTGCAGCGACAACCCGCCACCGTCGCCGCCGCTTCCTCCTACTCCTCCGGCGGCTGCAGCAGAAGCACCTCCTGCTAGCAGCCATGTGTGATGTAGGCTGTGTGCGCTCCCTCGTTGGGCAGCAGGCCACTGCAGACATTTCGACGTTTACTACAGTCTGTTTGACTTGCTACAGTGGTACTAGTTCTTTTTCTCTTTGAGCCGACACTGGTATGTGTGTTTGTTCGGTTTTGCTATGTCTCAATCGACGGTTCAATTGAGTGTAAATTAGTTCAGAAAGAACACAAATAAGTCGCGGTCTATAAAGCTACGCTGGATGTGTACACTGGCCACACAATTATTAAACCGTGCAAATTACCAAATTGTGCGCCCGCCACCAAATCTATCATGGTTGCTGTTAATTGCGCCCGCCACCAAATCTATCATTTTTTGCATTTACTGTTCATTGGGCGGTTTTGACCCGGTCAACGCCCTCAAAATCTGGTTTAAGACCAAACGTATCCGGTTTTGAAACTTGAGGGACCAAAAGTAGACCCAAAAATTTTGAGGGACCAAGTCTAGACTTTCTGGGAACTTGAGGGACCAAAAACACACTTTTCTCATCAAAAAACGTGCTTTCGAATGTTTTGACAGCTTAACTGTCCTCGGTAGCCGTTGCCTACTCTGCAGTGTTTACCACTGCGTGTGGGTGTACACAGTAACTCCAACCATCTGGGTATCTTACTCGATCTATATGCTTTGTTGACCGGCCAGAGTAACCCAAAGACAGTTCACCACACCAAATGACCTGGACCATCGGAACCGTGCACCCCACCAAAAGCACATAAGCAAAAGGATAGGCGGCCGGAGGGGCAGTCAAAGGCTGCCGCGCCTGATCTCACGCCTTCAATAAGCACAGAGTACCACAGCGGGCGATGTCCGCCGGTCAAAGGCACGTCTTCTGGTGACAAACTCTGACGCGGCCTGCTCGGCATGCCTCAATGCCGGCCACAGACACGCCTCCAGGCCGCCTGCATACACGCCAGCAAGCCGCATGCATGGAGCCTGCACAGACAATGACACGCGGTCTTCTCTTGTTAATCTCCTGAAATAACTCATGACGGCCGCTCCAATAATTTTTGTGACAATAATCACCATCCCAGAAAATATACCAGCATAGCGCCGGATAATATGGTCGCCCAAGATGAGGCCATAACATCCACAAAGTTGGCGAGGGGGATGGCCCGGGAGGAAATGTGTTAGTGAGGGTCATCGTCACAAAGAAATGATCCTGCTCGACGTTTTTTGGTCTGTCACTATGATTTTTGTTACTGAATAGAGCATATTTTGTAGTGGACTGTGGAATCCTGATGTTTGTGATAAGAAGTAAAGAAAGATTTGTCAACACATACATGAATATTAGCAGCAGAGTGTCAACCCATTAGTCGATTGATTGACATACTAAAAGAACAATCGGTAATTAGGTATATTACCATATCTGGATGCTCCCTTTGAATATTGCCAACGTTCATGTTGAGATTTTTTAAATCCGTATAGGATCCTGTTCTAGGCCATAGCGGCTCGGACAATCGGGAGACCAATGAACATTCGGAACACAAACCAAACAAGGATCCTCCTCCTTGTTCTTGTTTTGCCACTTTCGGTCCTTCTTCTTCTTGATGTTGGTAGTCTTGGAGACTTTGTTCTTTCCTTTGAACATGAAGACAGCCACAAATATCATAGTGCCCTCCGAGAACATTTTGTCATGTTCGGGTGGAAGCCCCCACTCGCCCCGCTCCTCGAAGTGGCAGCTGAAACCCAGTGCATGTTCAAAGCGGTGAGCCAGATGATGGTTTTGGTCTGCCACCTCTTGAAGTGAGCATCCATAAATGGGCTCGGTTACAGAGCAGCAGCAAAGCCGGTCAACAAAAATTGGCTAAACAAATAAGGTTTTTGGATCTTTCATTTTTCGGTTAAGAAGAGAGAGAGAGAGAGAGAGAGAGAGAGAGAGAGAGAGAGAGAGCGCATCTTAGGTCACTGAAAAATCTAGCGCTAGAGAGAGAGAGAGAGAGAGAGAGTTCATCTTAGGTCACCGAAAAGTCTAGGGCAACCACATCGTCGGCCATGGTGCTAAAGACGAGCTTGTCGTATGCCATAGTGGAAGTAGGCGCTCAGACGCCAATGAGGTAGTGATGGGCTGGGCTGGCCCAGTGATCCGTTGGATCTGGATCACATGGGGGAGTTACAACCCTGAACTAGGGTTCATTGCTACTCATCTAAAGTATGTATGCACTGAGAAGGGCCTAGAACTCACACTGCATACTTGTATTATTTCAAAGGTGTAATTAAGTAATCCAACCCAAGTTAAATAACCGGAGCTTACTTTTTAAAATTCAAGCGTAACTACCTCTTGAAAATATATTAACCATGCCTTTCATCACTCTCCTTATGAATGATATTTTCTTCTGGGACTAGGTTGGGCTTCTACCTGGCCATGGGCAGCCCGGCCCGGTCGGCACGACCCGACCTGCCCCGACGCTGCTCACGGGCCAGGCCTGGACCTAGATATTGAGCCCAAAGGCCGGGCTGGGCCGGGCCGGGCCTGTAATATTTGCGAGTTAACAAATAGGCCCATCCCAAGGCTTGGGCCTGATTTCTAGGCCCGACGCCCGGGCCTGGGCCTGGGATTTCTGTGTCGGGCTTGGTCAGGCCTGGCCCAAAGCCCGGCCCGGCCCGAGGGGTGGCCAGGTATGGTGCTAAGGGGACACACACACACACATAGATGCGATGAATCAAACATCATTCTTCTATCCTTGACAAGTTGGTAATGGTCGATATTTTCTTCGGAGGTGCAATGCAGTGGCAGCTTACTGGAAATTCCACGCAGCTTCTTCATATGACATGACTGGACTGTATTGCGTTGGCAATCACACTCGAATCAGTAGAGACTGCCGCAGGAGGTTGAATCGGCACATCTTGGAATAGTCACAGTGGTGCCAAAATGTGTGTCGACGGCTGCTGCATGACAGGTATATAAAGGAGAAGCAGAATTTTCAAAGATGCTTGGTCTATTGATTGACGAACGGAAGACTTTGACCATGGACCGGAAGGAAGCCCTATAATGACGCCTGCACAAAGAGAAGAGGGCAGCGTATGCAGTGAGAAGCTGGCTACGTGAGGATCATGGCGCGTCCTTCCTCCCTCGCTCTCGCGGTGGCGGTGCTGGCAATCATCTGCTGTTTCACGCCACGCTCAGCGACGGCAATCCGAGGTATATATATATATACAACTCCCCAGTAATTAATCTCGGCAACTCGATGGCCGGAATGATGTTTGATTCATCGCATCTACGCGTATGTGTGTGTGTGTGTGTGCAGTTGTTCCCGACGGACTCCATGGGCTACTAAATTCCCCTCCGTCGCCGCGTCCCAATTATTCGCCGCATGCGCATGGGGAACCCTACACGGGACGGCCGTGCAGGCAAATTTATGGCTGCAGAACGGTTCCTGAACCACCTCCACAGGCGACATCCCCGCCGACTCCACGCCGCAAGACCATGCAAGTTGTGGCCAACACATGAATCACCGTTATATATCTGCAGCGATGGCGACGTTGCGATATGATTACGAGTTCTAGAATTATTTTATGTGGCAACGATCGAGCTGATTGATGTGGTTGCTGCCACGATTCAGTGCAAGTTGACGCCGGATGCATGCATGCTACACAAAGAAAAATAGCTGTGTAATAAATAGTACTATTTTGCAACCACACTAATATATGTGGCGATGGCAAACTTTTGCTGAGGAAAGTTCACTGAAAAAAATATGTCTTGTAAACTAGCAAACCCGGGGAACTATATTGTTTATTGGCTGACCAACTGCATGATTGAGATATTGTTGACTCGTGTTGGTCTTATATGTACAAGACGAAAAAGGGTGTCCTTTTTGCTGTTAACCCAATGGTAGACTTTGACCGTCACATTTGAACGCGTCTCCAACACAAGGAATTATAATAGGACTTCCCTCGCAAAAATAAAAATAAAAATAAAAAAATTAATAGGACTTAATTAGATAGCAATCCTCGGTGTGGTAGTAGTACTAGGGTTCCGTATAAAAACAACGCATGCACAAAGAGAACACACATGAGAAGGTGTGAGAAAGTGACAGGAAGGAGGAAGGATCATGGTGGTTCTTACTTCTTCTTTTTTTGTCTTTTTGCGAAAATATCAAATCTATTATAAAGATTCATCCGAAGTACATGGACAACTGAAGGACCATTGCTGCCGCCGGAACGAGTCGCCGACGCGCCGCTGTCGCTGTTCCCTTACCTGAGCCGACCTGACCTTGCCGATGACAGCCGGAAAATCTTTGTGCACGTGCCCCTAAGGACCGGCGCTCGGGAGTAACAGTCATCTCCATTGAATCCTTGAATCAATCAGAAGAACTTGACACCAAATCTCCCCGTTGCGTATGCACGACGAGAAAAATATAACCTCGCCGCTCCAAGGAGCTGGCAAGAATCTACGCCGGAGATCGGTCTAATCCGTCCCGGTGAACGAACTTGAGGAGGATCGGAGGCCGGAAGACTGACTCGAAGAAGAAGCTCCGCCCTTGTGAGAACCAAAACCCTACCTATCTAACCTAAGGCACTAGAAATACCATCCCCGCCACCGGTCGTCGGAGCGGCATGTGGCGAGGAGACAATCCACGTGCTCACCTCTCCTTCTTCCTTCTTGCTACTACACATCGTCGCGAACTTGCGATCCTTGCTTTAATACGTTGTTCCTTGTCATGCTGGGCGACGACCCGAGGTAATTAATTAATCAGTGTTTACACTTCATATGTTTATCCCCGTTGAAAACTTAACCTATTTGTCATCAATCATCAAAAAGGGGGAGATTGTAAGCGCATCTAGTGCCCCTTAGTGATTTTGGTGTATTGAAGACTTATAGGTTAAGAGACTAATGTGTTTGTGAGTGTACACATATGAAGACTTTGGTTTTCTTGAAGAATTTGAAAATGAGGAAATTGATGTGACCTTGAAGATATTGATGCGAGGACTATGAAGCGTGAAGACTTTTATTTTCGTAGTGTCATTTCCTTCCTTTTGGTCATAGGAAACACCGCATTGTTAAAAGGGTCGAGTTAATATTATGGAAAAATTTCCAAGTGATGCTCATCTCAAAGCGTATACACATACCTAATCCTTCGAGTGAAGCCTTTGAAAATCTCTTACCATCCAGTCAATTTCTTCTGTGACAGAGACGAAGATCTTCTGGTCTCTGAGAAATTTGTTCTGACCGAGGAGTTAGGAATTCGCCAGTGTGAATTGCCTACAATGAGGAACACGATAGCCCTGAGGAATTTTGTAGTTTGAATTTCCGACCGTTGCTATTCTTTGCGCCAGCTGTCCAGATATCTTATCCACATAACAGTCATATCATTAGGGGCATTTATGTCTTATGATGTCGGGCTGCTCCCTGGCTATATATAGCCGCCCCCTCAACCACTAGCTGGTTGGCTGCTTAGAGAGATAGATTGACACTTGTCATTTAGAGCATCCCATCCTCCGAGGATTTTGAGAGAAAATCATCGGTGAAGAAAAACCCAAAACCCCAAACACCTAGAACCCAAAGTGATTGAGTATCACTGAAGAGATTGTTCCTGTGTCGAACCGACGCTTGTTACCTTTGAAGACAGTGCATCTTCCAGACGGTTCTAGAGCATCCAGGGGGAATTGTGGATCTCCGAGTGCCCAAGTGTGTGAAGGTTTGGAAATCACCTTGAAGACTTACCACGAGTGATTGGGCAAGGTCTGTGTGGCCTTAGCTCAAGGAGAATACAGTAAGCACCGTGTGTTCTGGGACTGTGTGTCCTTTGGTTTAAATACCAAGCCGCTCCAACTAGACGTACAACTGTCACAACAGTTGAAACTGGTCTACCAAATCGCTGTCTTCACCGAGTTGTTGGTTCTATTTCCTCAACTCTTTCATTTCTCCATTTACTTGTTGATGAAATTTATCATTATTGTTTGAAGACTTTGACTGAAGACTTTCTCAATTTCCTCAATCCTATTTCTTCAGTCATCTTGTCTTCTGCCTGCTTATCCTATTTACCCACTACCTGTGCTCTGTGTATGTTTCATTTCATCATGATGACTATGCTAATGTCTTATTATGCATGCACCTGAAGACTTTATCCGATGCTTGTATTTCGTCACTTCGCAAATTCCTCAAGTAGTATTTCCTCAGTGACGAATTTGTAAAAATCGCCTATTTACCCCCCTCTAGTCATATAACACACTTTCAAATGTACTTCCGTGTAAATTGTGGAGACACTGTTGCAAGCATAAAGTTTAAATTTTTGAAACAATAGAGTAGTTAGGACTGACGATGCATCGCGTTAGCAACACATTTGCAAATTTGAGTCTATAAGAAATTCATTGGGCCTCATAAATATATTTAAAGGGGCAAAGCTTACTGAGAAAATCAGTGTTCGATGCTTCCTGGATCGTTAATTAACTATGCCCTAATCATAAAGCTGATAATACATTCTAACAGCTAAATACAGACAACATTGGTTCAGTGAACACGTGAAAAGTAGAAAAAGAAGCTTACATCAGCGATCATGATCTTTGGGTAGTTAATTAGCTACTAATTAAACTGGGAATTAACGCTGCGAATCGGTACAGACAACTACATCCAAGAATAGCCAAGTCCGTGCTGGCAAGAAAAAATCACTGCCTAATTTTGATTAGTTGGAAACTACTCCCTTTATCATACCAATCGATGCACAAAACAAGTACTGCCCCCTCATACAGAACTCCTAAAAATATCTTGACAATAAATCTTGATGCACTGATTAACCGTCATCACATACATTTTAGATAACATGGTTCGTCAGCAAATACATTCCAAGACAGTAGATCCATCACCAAATTAACAACATTGTTCCACGATGCATCAAAACATAATTATAATTACAAATCTAACAACAGATTCATTAATCAGGCAATATAACTACTCAAAAAAAGCACTCCGTGGAATTTCACTGATAAAAATGAACTGATTAATCACCAAAATTTCAGATAAGACCAGGACAGTTCACTCCAAATTGAAGGTGAAAATTGCAAATCACAGTCATGAAAAAATCCGAGAAAACTTTTCAGAGATAAAAACCAGATTTGTCCCCGCCGAAAAAACCAGATTTGAACACCACAAATCTGATCTCGTACAAAAAAATTCGAGCAAACGTTTCAGAGAGCAAAAATGACGAAAGAAAGCGACTTGGAGAAGAGATCGCCGGAACAATCTGATCTTGTAAAAAAAAAGTCCAGGAAACCTCGAGAGAAAAATGGGGAAAGAAAATGGCTTCGAAAAGAGCTCGGCGGGATTGGTCCTTGTTTGGTCGCCGGCCTTCATCCCCTAAGTCTCAGCCCATGCCGGATCTGCAATGACTGGCCGTTGTCCTCATGCTTCCACAGTACCCGGATTCATCAGTGGCCGTGTGCGGGGTGACCTAGGATTTCGGATCCATTGGTGGTTGGGGGCGATGTGGAAGTGGAGCTTCGCCCTGAGCACCGGCAACACACAGGTGGCGTTGGAGGCAGTGCCAGCCGTACAATGTACATGAAGCAGGGGTCGCCGCGGTTGGCCTTGTGGGTTGAGAGATAATGAAGGGGCATGGTGGTGCAGGCGGAGCACGGCGGTTGCTCACTGGGACGGAGGGAGGCAGCGGGATCGCGCTGGTGTGGGGCGTGGGGCATGCGAACGACTAGAGCGAGGGGAGCAGAGAAACAGTGCAGGGCGGCTGCAAATACTCCACAGGGGCAATTAATGCGGTTAGCCAACTCCTAGGCAGGTATTCCCTCCGTAAAGAAATATAAGAGCAATTAGATTATTACTTTAGTGATCTAAATGTCAATATACCGAAAGTTTTGTTTAGAGATACTACCGCGAAACAAAACTTAATACACAGCTTTTGAAGCCAGTGATCCGAATCTATATGCA